AGAGGTGGTGTTGGACAAGTTGTGTATTATGCTTGAGCTTGACTCATCTATGGTATTTATGTATCATTTCTTCTTTTTTTCTCTTGCTCCCTTAATCCCGATTTCCCCCCCTTTGATTATGCTTATTGCTCATGGTCATTTAATTGCTTTTGCGACCAAGGATGTGTAATGATACGCTATGAGGCTTGTTTGGGGTTCCTTCAGGTTCCCCATTCGCCGGTCACGTCTAGGCCCTAGGCTTGGTTCGTGACAGTCTTGAAATGCATACTTGTTAATACCTAGAACTTGCCTCGTTGGTCCAATTGGCTAGTGTGAGCGAATGATAGAGATGATCTTAGGCACAATTTGTGGAGAGTTAGCCAATGTTTCCATTATACCTCTTTGTGAAACCCTTGTGAGAGTGTGAACCTAGCTTGGCACCATTTTAGCCTATCCTTTTCTTTGAATGAACCTTGAACATAAATGACCCCTTTCCTTCCCACCTAAAATCTTCATGGAGCATTGGGTATGTTGAATAGCCAAAAGCCTAAGTTGGGGGTGTGGTGAAAAAGGGAGGAAAATAAAGAGGTTTGAGAAATTCACCTCTTTAAAGATTATGTTGAAAAAGATGGAACCCTCCATATAAAAGAGAGAGAGAGAGAGAGAGAGAGAGAGAGAAATGAAAAGAGGAAAAATATCAAAAAATAAAATAATTGTTGAAATAAAGTGTGTGCAATGAGCAAAAGAAATGGGGTATCCAATGATGCGTACTGGAAAGAGTAGAGTGTGGATTTTGAAAAGCAAAAAGTGTGATAGAAAAGGAGAAAGAATGAAATGCAGGCCATGCTTCATGAAGGTAAAAGTCACTAATCCTAAATGACCATACCATTACTATCAGCCCCGCTACAAGCCTTGAAAGACCTTTGTGATCTTGAATGAGCTTATTATCATGTTGATTGGAAAATACTTGCAAGCCTATGAAGAAGGATCATGCATATGTTTGTTTTTGAGAGAGTGAGAGTTGTTTTAATTCCGAAATTTTAAAATTTGATGAGCATGGAATCATTTTTTATGTCATGGCATTCAAATGCTTTTGTTGAGCTTGAACCTGCACTTGAACCAAGCATTGTGAGCTTGAGTGCATATGATAATGGTTAGTCACAGTTTGAAACTTACAGTGCACAACTGAACATTACATGTGTAGTTTGAATCTCTTGTGTATTCATGTTGAGTCTTGAGTAGCATTGTTTGTAAACTTCCTTATTGAGCTGATTAATCTTGAGTTTTACTTGAGGACAAGCAAAACTTTAAGTTGGGGGTGTCGAGGAGTCTGAGATTTCGACTCATTTAGGGCTTGGTTATCTTAGTTTTATTGTCCTCAATACCTAATTTATGCTCTAAACTAATCATAAAGTGTTAATTTGCAGAAATGAAGGCAAAGGAGCAACGCAAGGACATTACCAGGTAAAAACGAGCAAAAAAGATGAAAAAGGCTGAAGATAGCAAAAGTTGAAAATCGCCAAAGCCACTTGGCGACTTGCCGAGTGGTACTTCAGCTTGCCTAAAGTTCCAAACTACTAGTCGTGGGGAGAACCCAAATTGGCGATGGATTTGAACGTTCGGCGAACCGCCGAATAAATCAGCGACACAAACTTGGATCGCCTAAAGTAAAAGAACCCTAAGGTTAAAGAGCCAAGGTAAACCAACGATGGAATGAAACCATTGGCGCATTGCCGACTAACCTCGCCTAGTGATCCTGAAGACCAAAATTTGAGAATGTATAAATTGAATTTCAGAAAGCAGAAAAAGGGTCCAGTCTTAAATCCAGTCATTTACTGAGTAATTTCTCCATTGTAGAACTTGGAACTTTCGTTGGTTACTTAGTTTTAGGAGTTTTCTAGTAGATTTTGAGTTGAGTTTTCGATATTGAGCATTTTGGATCATTGCAAAGACGCAGATTGCAATACCCAGATTATGGAGAACGTAATTGGTATTAATTTCTTCTTTTTTATGATGTGTGACTAAAACCCCAATTCGTGGGGTGTGATCATGTGATTATTTGTTCTAATTATCTTATGGGTATTGCTGTTTACTAATTTAAATGTTGTTTTAAAGTGGTTTTGGTTGATAGTTTTGTACTAACTCATAAATTATAGTTGCAAATGCAAATTTAGCTTAATATCATGGGCTTGCTCGAGAGTGAGGTTGTCGAACCAAGGTTATCGGTTGATGATTGTAGTGATTGGGATGTCGTAGTTTTAGCTCGAGAGAGTTAATCTTAATTTGATCCTACCTATCTAGCTCGAGAGAGTGATTCTTAATTCGATCCTACCTATCTAGCTCGAGAGAGTAGACAAATTAAGGTTTTGGGTTGTTTCTATTGTTAAGCTTGTCGAGGTTCGAGAGAACTAACTTGAATCGTAATAGTTGTTCGAGAGAAAGCTATTGCATCTATAGCCTATCCTACCCACTGAGATTCAGTCGTTGTTAGTAAATTTCAATTACATATATAGCGAAATAATCCTATAATTGATCACATCCCCGAGAATTCATCTCAATTTGATTACTCCCCTACTTTTCTAATTGTTGTAGTTGTTAATTGACACTCTTAACCACCCCCCCCCCATCTGACATTTTTTGTTAAACCATTAATTTACTTTGCTTGGCTTCGATAATTTCTACCTCTATAACCGATTAGAACACAACCTTTACTTCTTAATTAAACTCTATATTGTACCGCTCCCTATGGGTTCGACCCCAACTCTTTGTTAGGTTTTATACTAGAATACGATCGCCTACACCTAGTATTAGATGAAATGTAGATGAGCGTTTATCATAGATGACAACACAAGGTACTTCTATTAAATCATCAAACACAGGAAGTTGAAGCATGCCATAATACAACTGAAGGACAGGTAGGGAGTATGGCAATCAGATCCAACAATTATTGGAAGTCTGCTTGTGGAGTTCTATGAGGAAATTCTAGGGAACAAGACAGTGAATAGATGTCCAGCAATAGGAGATTTGATAAGAAAATGGAAAGCGCTTACAGAAGAACAACAATATGCACTCATTCAGAGATTTGAACTGCAAGAGGTGAAAAAGGCTATGTTCAAAATTGACAACACCAAGAGCTCTGGACCAGAAGGGTATGTTAGTGGATTCTACAAGGCAGTATGGTCTTTGGTGGGAGAGGATGTCACAAATGTAGTGCAATAATTTTTTTAGAATAGTAAGATTCTAAGGCAAATCAATTCAACAAGTATTACTCTCATTCCAAAAATAGAGGTGCCTGAAGTTACCAGCCAATATAGACCAATCTCCTATAGCAATGTCATTTATACGTGCATATCAAAATTAATCTGCAGTAGATTAAAAATTGTTGTCAGCCATATAGTAGCAAAAAATCAGTCAGCCTTTGTACAAGGAGATCAATGATACACAATATGTTGATTTGTCATGATTTACTAAGACACTACAATAGGAAGAATGTATCTCCTATGTGTCTTATGAAAATAGATCTAAAGAAAGCTTATGACATGGTGAGTTGGGAGTTTATTGAGGAAGTCCTAGGTGGTTTTGGGTTTCCTGAACAATTCATCAAATAGATCATGTTCGGAGTTACTACTTAAATTTTTTCAAAAGAGTGAATGGAGAGAACCATGGTTTTTTCTAGAAAAAGAGGACTAAGACAAGGAGACCTTACATCTCCGTTGCTATTTGTATTAGTCATGGAATACTTGTCAAGAACACCTCAGACTATGAGTGGGCTGCCTGACTTCAGATTCCATCCGATGTGTAAGAAGCTGCAACTCACTCACTTAATTTTCGTTGATGATCTCATGATATTATGCAAAGGGAATGTAGCTTCAGTGAGTATATTAGTGGAAGCATTAGCACACTTTAATGTTGCTACTGGTTTGGAGGCAAACTTGAACAAATTAAGTATATTCTTGGCTGGAGTTGATGAGGACACAATAAGGAAAATTCTAACTAGAACTGGATTCTCAGTTGGTATATTCCCTATCAAGTACCTTGGCCTACCTCTTTCACCAAAGAAATGGACAAAAACTGACATATTATTCTCTAATTGACAAGCATACTCAAAGAATCATTGTAACTTACTCCAAGCAGCTCTCCTATGCTGGTAGGCTACAAGTGATTAATGTTGTACTATTTTTCAATCCATAGTTTCTTGGGGGGGGGGGGGGCAGTGTTGATATGGGCAGTGTTGATATTACCCCAAAGCATTCTCAAGAAAGTGGATAAGATATGCAGGAATTTCCTGTGGGGTAGTAGTGCTGATAACAGTAAGATAGCTTTGTCGCCATGGGAGAAAATTTTCCAAGGTGGTCTAAATATAAAGGGCAGTAGCTACTGGAATATTGCCTCAGTGGGTCAATTGATATGGCAAATCATAGAAAATAAGGAGTCATTGTGGGTTCAATGGGTCCATGGAATATATATAAAGGATGATGCTTCTATATGGACTCACAAGGCACCATTATACTGCATGTGGTACTGGAAAGAAATAAATGCATTCAAAGTTCAAATGCAGGGTTGGTACATACAAGACAAATACAAGTTGACACAATCTGACATCTATTTTATCACCAAAAGTTACTTAGCAATAATAGGCCACAAACTACAAATAAGGAATGTTGGACTCATCTGGCCGTCGTTGGCTCTACCAAAGCATAGATTTATGGTGTGGTTGGTTGTCCAAGGAAGGTTACTCACTCAGGAGAGGAAGTTGAAACTAATCATTCAAGTTGATAACACTGATTGTTGTCTATGTAATGAGAAAGCAATGGAGACCAATGTCCATCTATTTCATAAGTGTAAATGGACATCCATTGTATGGAAAGAGATGATTCAATGGACAGGTACAACACTGCAGAATGCTGGAATCATCAAGAGTTTGGATAGCATTAGGAGGAAACACTGGAAGAAAGCAAAGAAGGAAATTATGGAAGCTATTGGTGGAGCAATCCTCTATCATACATGGTGTGCTAGGACTTGGAAGAAATTCAAAGGGAAGCAGATACATACAAATGAGGTAGTTCAACTGATAAAGAAGGAGATCACAGAGAGGGTAAATTTACTGTACAGTTCAAAAGAGCACAGAATTGTAGGCAGTTTATTCAACATTTAATATATAATTAGTTTTATAGTTTTGTCGGAGGCCTAAGTTCTGTTATCAGAAAATAGGTGCTCTTTCGGTTGTAATTGTTCTTGATGGTTATGGTAATCTTTTACAGTTGTTACTAAGAAAAAAATATTTTATTCAAGAAAATCTCTAAATAATTAGGCGTACTTTTTTTAAAATGAATTTGAGTGAACTTGAGGTTGTTACCACCATCTTTGAAGCATAGCGGGATAATTGAGTTAACTTGAGGTTGTACTCTTGTACACCTATAGACTACTGCTTCAGATTAAGGAACTCTCTTACTTTTGCTTCCCTTATCTCTTGGGGAACGAAGCGCCCCAAGAAAGCATCTTCAAACACAACCTAACTCAAAATTGGGGCCCCTCTGCCTTTTTATTCTTCCACTAATCATACTATATCCTGGCAATACCCTTGAGCTGGTATCCAGCCATCTCTACACACTCAACATCAGCAACATTAATGACCTCAAACACCTTCTGAAGTTCATCCACAAAGTTTTTTGGATCCTTATTGAGCTTCAACCCAATGAACTCCGGGAGACTCATTCTTAGAAATTCTCGGACTCTGGATGCATCACTCCAATTCTAATGGCCGGCTTCTTGGAGACCAACTTGTGCTGTCACAACTTGAATCAACATTTGAATTGCATTCCTGAATTTAGCATTGGTGACATCTCCCAGAGGGAGTTGCACTTCTGGTGCATTGGGATCTTCTTGACGTTAAGGATTCACATTCCTTCTAACAGGACGTCCTTGAACAACTCTTCATGGAGGAATGATCTGAAAAGATACGCATAAGCATGAATTAGAAATAACTTTCATAGAGTCAAACTCTATCCCACGAAAAGAAGTAAAAATAATGTGAAATATTTCCTAAATGTCGTAGCCTCCTAATTGTAGATGTGGGACGCTTCACACCGATAAGAAGGACTCTACATGCACGGCTTCATAGATACATTAGGATTCTTGAATACTGTGCTCTGATACCAAGTTTGTCACCATCCGAGCCTACACCCTAGATGTGAGCGGCACACAAGAACAATTCTGATCCCCAAGCGAACCCTTGGCCTGGCTTACTATGACTCTATGTAATACGCGGAAGCTTAAATTGATGAGCATTTAGAAAAGTTTGAAATCACTGTCTTGAAATAATTAACATAAGTTAAGTTAAACAAACATTCTGAGAAACAATGGAAACATCTAATTATGCCTGTCTATGAAGCCTCTAGTAGTTCAAGATTTATGTCAGGACAAGACCCATCACACCTCAAATATTACTAAAATGTCATTTAAAATGGAGTCTCCGGAGGCTTCACCAAATATTGTCTACGAGTGTAAGGTGATCTCAATGAAACGCGTGTTGATGATCTTGAACATCTGTATCTGAATCATAAAGATGTTGATCGAATGATATCAATACATTAAATGTACGAGTATATAATACGGCTGAGTAAAAAAGAAACTGAACTAAATGACTGAAATCAACTCAACTGAATAAATATATGAACATGAAGTGTAAACCATTTGGACCTTACAATAAGATATGCAATAAAAGCAATATGAAAATAATATACTTTCCTCAAAGGCACTGAGGAGTTGCATGATGAATCAATGCTATCATATCCTATGTTGGCTACGTAGTTTTATAGGTATTTCGAGTTATAAAAGACTCTAACCCAATTCAGTGTTCGATACTACTTCTAAAATAATAAATAATATCAATAATACTGAATCACCACTTGTAAAGAAAAGGACTATTACTTTACTGAAGTACTTTTCAAAAGCATAACTCATACTTACATTTGAACGTATTCTTATGGACTTATCTTTCAAGTCCAAGCTCGATATGCATAGACAGAAAACTCTTATATATTTCTTATAATAGAGCCCTTAAACTTTTCATGTAAACTCACTTTAGTTTTGAATGCACACTTAGACACGTGATTAGGATATGTAGGGACTTTAGAAGGTGAATACACCTTATAGGAGCTAGTACAGAGGAGGGAAACGTGAGCACAACTTATAGGAACATGCACCAGATGAAACAAAGAAAGGAATCTGCCTAACAAACGTTGGCGCAAGGTGTCAGGCCCTGAACTACTAAAGTTAGGCCTTGGCGTATTGCTGACCCGTTGTGCCAGGGCCTAAACTTCAGAAGTTAGGCCTTTATGTACTACTGGTGAGTCACACCTTGGCCTAAACATTAGAATTCAGGCCTTGGTGTACTGCTGGCGCATCGCGGTAGGGCCTAAACTACTGAAGTTAGGCCTTGGGGCTAACTTGGCGCGCAACCCCAGTCCCCTCCCTAGCAACCCGATGATTTTTTTTTGTAAAATTCAAACTTCAAACTAGTTAGAATTGAAAAAATTCTCCTCAAGTCTTCTTTATTCTCAAACCAATACGATTACATGAGAACTTTCATACAATCTCTTTGAAAAATAAGATTTACCAAAGATTCACAACACAAAAGAATCAAAGCCTCCATTGTTAAAGAATTGAACAACAAATCAAGAACTACGAATGAATCCTATAGATATAACAATTTCTTAACAAAATTGAGATGTAGGGCATGAGAAAAAAAAAAGTCCAACACTGTGAGAAACCTTACTTACCTGGAAAGAACAATGTTCTTGGCCAAAATAACCATATTCTTGAAGAACGCTTGAAACCTATCTTTTCTCTTCTTGGAATCTCACTCTAATTTCTCTAATTGTTTGGGAACATGAAAAAGTGATTTAAAACTGATTAGACCCTTATTTGGGTGAAGAAAAACGTGCTATGCTAAGTAGGAAAAGGAATAGACAAAAATATCCTTCTAAAAACGAAAGAGATGCCTTAAATAGAGAAGCTTCACTCAAACGGGCTTAACTTATTACTCCAAGCTCAAAATTATGCACACTTCGTGGTGTTGGAAAGAGGACTCAAAGACTTTCAATTTGCTAAGTCATGGGTCACCTAACTATTTATGTGCAAAAAGATATGTTTGCTTGAAGTTGACCCAAAACTAAAACTGATGGATGACTTGTACAAATTTCTCTTTAGTTCTTTTCAAAACCTGAGGTGTTACATGTATGCTCAATAAAAAGGGATAAGAGTACAATTACGCAAAAATAAGGTAGAAACTTAAAGAAATAAAATATTTTTCTCCATAGGTGATGTTGTTCTTATATTAATATTAAGTTATGCGGCTGGTATATATATATATATACCCGGACTATTCTTTAATTGCATATATATAACACCCCACTAAGGCCCGGACAATTCTTTAATTGCATATAAGGTCTTATCGGGTTATTCTTAAATTGTTCATATATGTAAAGGTAAATTCTTTAGTGTGGGAATGATTTTGGATATCAATTAAGGTCACTAGAATCTCCTAGCACAAAGTTCAGTTGAAAGTTTCCTTATCGATTAAGTTTTGACATAAGATTTTACTTATGTCAACTTAAAGCGATCATATCTCTTATAATATAACAAGTCACGTATCCCATACCCTACCAAATTTAAGGTATTTGAATCATCTTTCCAACGCCACCAATTTTGCCACAATCAATTTTTTGAGTAAAAAGTTATGACCATTTTAGTAACTTGATGCAGTGCAGTGACAAATTAGCCGACATGGAAACATTAGAAAGGGTTGTTTTTGTCTTTTACCTCTAAGAAAACCCTAAAAGAATTTCTTGACTAATTAAAGACCCAAAACAATCAGATTTTCATCTCTTAATTCATTATTCTCTTCTCTCTCAAACCCTAAGGAAAAACCCTAAGGAAAAATCAAAGTAGAAGACTCCATTCAAGATTCTTTCCATTTTTTTCATGATTCTTCTTGAAGGTAAGTCTTTTTCCAAAATTCCAATCTTTCCAACTCAAATTCCTTCATACAACTATGAATTACTAATTAAAATCATAATTCTTGACCACGGAGATTTCAAGAAACTAATTCAAGAAATCTCAAGAAAGGTTTTCTTGATTTTTCTCCTTCAAGTTAGGGTTTCAAGGCTTCTAATCAAGTTCTTCTTCAAGATTCTTCAAGAACCTTGTTTTTCTAGGTATGTAAGATTAATAGTGTTGGACTAGTTCATCCCCATGCCCTACATCTACTTTCAAATCATTAAAAGAGTAATCTAGGATTCTACCCCTAGATTTGAGTATTCTTGAGACGAGTTAATTTTGAGTTCTTGAGTTTTAGATTCTTTTTAAAATTCTATTTCTAATTATTGAATTGCTATATGTTACGCATAAAGATTCTTGAGTTGATCCGTTCATGTCTATATTTCAACATGAACCCTATTAATTGAGTATTTGTTAGATGAGTAGTGTTGTTGAGTTCTGAGTAGTTGAGTTATGAGTACTGAATTTCCATATTGAAATTAAGATCCCTTACTTCAGTCGTTCATATCCATAATTCCACATGAAACCTATGGGTTGATTTATAAATCTTGAGAAGCTTTTTTAAAAAACCAACAATTGAGTTTTAAACTGAGTTTTTGAGGAAGTAAAGATGAGTTTTGAAGAAAAAACTTTCTAAAACATGTTTATTATGACAATTGAGTATGCCATCAATGTATGAGCAGTATGGTATCTAGATAAACGATCAATGTTTATGCAGTATGACTTCCTGAGTCATCAAGGATCATATTAAACTATGATTTTGATATGTTTTTGAGAAATAGTTTTTAAGTATGAATTGAGTAAGAGTATAAGGGGACTATGTATTCCTAGAGGTATAAATTTTTAAATCGATAAAAGAGAAATTGAGATTTCTAAATGAGTTATGAGTTCAAAAGATATTTCAAGAGCAGTTACCTCTTTTAAGAGGGTAGTTTGAGCAATTATCTCAAACCAGAGGAAGAGTGTATTTTTTTTAAACATTGAGCATGAGTATATATATTATTGGGAGTAGTATTGAGCACCGATATGGGGGAGAGTTTAGATAACTCACAGCCCCCATAAACCATGTATGCCAACTTGGGTAAAGGATCATAC